CTAAAGAAATTAAAATAAAACTGTTAAGAGTGACATTAAATTTCATATTTCTTAAGAAAGGTATCTAATTAATTTATAGGTACCTTTCTTATGAAATTTTATCAGAATTGTACATAAAATACTATAATTTTATGTACATTTATTACATTCTACTGTTATTTGTATTTGCATTCATTTTATTATTTAATTTTGATATTTCATTTATGGAAAAATGTCGTAACTGAGATTAATATAAAAAATAAGATCATATAAATTTCATAAGATGATACTGATACTTGTAGGTAACCTTCTCAGTTGAAATTGAAAAATCAAATTAACTTCTCCACACGTGTTTCAAGAAAAAAGTAAAGACCTTAACAGCGGAGAACAATGCTTAACTCAAATAACGCAACTTAATTATATTCTGGTTGGTCTTCCGTATTTTATAATTACAGCTCGATTATAAGCACAAAATTACATTTCTTAATTACTGGGGATCTTCTGATTAGTCAAAATGATACAATTTACAACGCGCTAAAAAAAGATCTATCTCATAAGGACACTTATGAAAGCCCAGCGGTTTTTTAACTAATTTTATAATATTTTAACAACTTAAATGTAAAATCTATTATAATTAATGAAATAACAAATAATTGTATTAAAAATTCATTTTTCATTGAAAAAAATTTTTTTGCTTTCAGAAAATATTGTCCATATTCATAAAAACAACTAAAAGCAAATAAAAGCATTTGAAATTAAATAATATCTTTGTTTTATTGAGTTTTGTATGTTACAATTCAGAGCTGATTTTCAGGTACTGGGTATCCAATTAAAAACAAAAAAAAAACATGATTTGCATTCCTCAAAGCCCTGTGCTTTTTAATTATTGTAATCACTAAAACCGATGCGATCGAATTTGTAGCGTTTTCATAAAATTAGTTATGGGGGGTAATAAATATTTAAAAAAAAAATATTTCTACCATGACTTTCATAAAAAAAACATATTTATAATAATTTTGATCATCTGTGAATAGTTCCTGAAAGTTTCATTAACATCCGATAATTATTTCTATTTTTGCACGATTTTTCAAATTAATGTGTCATACCAAAAAAAAACGTGCTAAAAATTGTCTATGTTATTTACTAGTTCCGCTGATACAAATAGAAACAAGGTTTTTTTAATCAAAATTTAGAATTTTCTAAAAAGAAGGAAAATTTTTTAAAAATAATTAAAAAATACTTTGGTCTTTCCTCTAAATAATAGCATAAGCATTTAGACAATAAAATTTTGTTTTCGGCAAGGTTGGCGTCTTTTTCATCAAGCTATGCTCTTTTTTTAGTGATTTCGTGGAGGTACCTAAGTAAATATAGATAGGGTAATACTATAATCAAAGAAGTTTTAATTTAATCAGATTTTCTTTTTTTTTAAATGAAAATAGTGCTTTGGTTATGGATTGCAATGTTTTTATTACAAAAGACAAGTGAATTACTTTGGCACAAAGTATATACTTACAAGATGCATTAATGCAGTTATATTTATTTTTCTATCACTAAACCTTTACTGCTCCATAGATCAGTGGTTAAACTTTTTCTTACAGCCACATCACATTGAAACACTGGTTCCTGTACAATCACTGAAATTAAGCAATGTCAAGGCTGGTCAGTACCTAGACGGGTGACTGAATATCAGGTGCTGTAATCTTGGATGTGCAGTTGGTGGTGTAATGGAGTTGGGTTCATTATATTCATTTACAGGAAAATACCCTTGGGGGAAAAGTATGAATCCTCCTCTTCTCCCCACCAGCTGCAGATTAATTAGCAAGACTTGTATCACTAAAACCATTATGATCTCCAAAACGAAAAAAAAATGCATACAAATATTTAAATTTTTGGCATTAAATAACCCATAGAAGTGTTGATATGCTGCTAAGTAAAAACAACCAACCAACTTTGCTCTTACAAAGTAGAAACTGTGATTTTGTTCCTCGTTCTTCTTTCTAAAATTCTGAATATAAAATTGGAGAGATGTCCTCTTATGTTATTTTTAGGTGCTTAATACATTATTTATCTTATATTTTATTTTTTGTTTTGAAGAATTTTCCAACTATCTGCCAAACCCTGAGCCTAAGACAATACCATTTATTAATCTTGTACTTTTTCCCAGAGCCCAAACTCAAAATATTAATTATTCTAGTTGGCTTAAGCTTTTACTTTTGTGCTTTTAATTCATATTGAGAAATATTCAAAAGTATTGAGCATCTGAGTAGTTGTTCATTTCGTAATCAGTTGCAATATGGTGAGTTTGTTTTGCTTTATACCAAAACTGATCGTTTCAACAAGCACCTATAAACAAACTCTTTGCTCAACCATAGAATGTTTTCAAATCTAAGATTTGTTCCAAGAAATTCCACTTACAAAGGTGAACATGAATGAAGGAGTGGAATGTTGTAACTGCTTGAAGTAACCTCTTTGATTTCATTGCTAAAAGTTTATTGACAGTATGGATCAGACACACTATTAGTATATTGAGCATTCAAGTCTCAGATTTGTTTTAACAGATTTTATAAAATCCACATGTCTGAAAATCATTTGTCAGACTTCAACCTTTTGGTCAACATGGGACAAAATGACAGATCATTGTTTATAAACACCAAGAGTAAATGGTATTTCAGTAAGTTGTGGATATGTTTGCATAGTGAAAGAAAATTAATAGTTACTTGATGAAAAGATGTAATAAAACTATAAGATTTTAATATTTTAACACAGACTTGTTTGGGTTTCTTTTATTTTTTCTCATCTCCAAATTTCAGCATTTGAATTGAAAATCCTGTTCATTTGTGATTATTTAAAAATAATTTACTCAAAATCTTTTTTTTACCTTTTTAAGTTTTAGCAAAAGGAACAGCCCAACATGCAAATTACAAATTGGAGATACCAAAATAAAACAAGTACAACAATTTAAATATTTAGGAAGTGTTTTAACAAGGGGTAGAAAGTTTCATACTCATATCTGAAGGTGCATTGGTATAGTGAAAGATGCCTTGTAAAAGCTAAGCAAAGTTTAAACAAACAAAACAAAAGTTTCATTAGAAACAAAGAAAAGTGTACTAAACTGTTATAAATCCTCCTATATAGTAGTGAATGCTGGACAATCCCCTCAAAGATGAAGAAGAGACTTCAAGCAACAGATGTTTCTACAGAAGGATGCTGAGGATACCATGGACTGAATATGTGAGCAACAACAAAGAAAAGATATAATAGATAATGGAAAATCTCACAGAATAAAGAAAGGAATCTGTTGAGAGCCATGATTGCTTATGTCTTGAAGAGATGATATTAAAAAAAATATCTTGATAGTGCAAATAACTTAAAAACTTTACTGTAAAGCTGTAGCAACTGAGCCTGATCATCAAAGAAACACATCTACTTGGAATTATCCTGATAGACTATTACATTTTAATAAATTCTGGATTTTTTTTTTTTTTTTTTTTTTTTGATGCCTTCAGCTGGTCTCCTGGGTAGCACTGCTTATTTAAATCAATTGTTTTGGTTCTCTATCATGACCTTTATTGGATGAAAACCAGCCCTTTGGTAGTTTTAGTGGTGGTTCATTTCACTTACCTCATATTCCAAGTTGTAAAGTATCCACTTTTCATCACCCATTATAATTGCTTTTAAAATGATCATTCTTGAAAATATAGTATAAATTTTTACTGATATAGAAGCTGCACATAAAGGTAACTAAGATAACCAAGCTGATTAAAATGGTTTTCATGGCTTGATTTGGATATTTTGAGTATGTTGGTTATTTCCAACATTGTATAATGCTTATTATTCTCAAGTAATGTCATTTAATCTCTTCCAACTTCAACGATAGAGCATGGTTTAGCAAGAAATCTCCAGCATTAAACTTTGCTAACCACTCTTGATATATTTGATTATTTACAGTAACTTCTCCATAATTCATTTTTGTGTCTGAGTCAGATTTTTAGCCAAAAAGTTAAATGTCAATATTTTTTTTTTTAAGACTGGTTATTTATATATGTAGAAATTGGTGCTATAATTTGTCCACTTGCAACTTTCACCACATTTCTTTACCTTTTAAAATCTTCAATATCCACATGTTCTAATTATATAAGCTTGTTGCAAATGAGAGAAAACAAACTTGTCTGTCTCTTTTAAAAGAAATTATCATTAAATAATTTGAATGCAATAGAATGAAAGTGATTTTGTGAATAACATTTTTATTTTATTTTATATGTACCATGTCCTTTCAGGATGTGAGCAACTGATTCTTCAAAAATTATTGTCACTCTCTCTCTCTCTCTTCTTTTTTTTTAATGTTCACCAAATACAAGAACCAATCAAGGTAGAGAGTTACTGATGAAGTTTGCTGCATGAGTAGTAAAAGTAGGAGTTAAGAATTATGATTTTATAAGGCTATTGTAGTAATTAACTTTTGACTTTTTAGAATGTCTCTGTTCTTGTACTGCCATCAATTCATACAACATTGTTACATTCCAGATTATTTATCTTGCATTCACTATGTTCTACTAAGAGTGTTAGATTCTCCAGGCCTTTTTTCTTCATTGTGTGGTTCAAAGATTTCAACTATACGTTGCAAATATTGAATGATTGCAAATGAATTAGGCTCTTATTTTCTTGATAAAATTTTAGTTTATCACAAATTAAATTCTTGGAACAATTTTCCTGACTCTTTTCTATGGTGCCATTCATTGAAATATAATTGAGTGAATAAATGCTATCAATTAATCTATTCACTAACATACTTCAATTCATCCAGGCAATTATTATCATATATCAATAGGCTGCCATATACAACTGAATTTTTTTATCATATTGACTTTCTTTTTCATTATATATTTCTTAGTAAATTGAAATGAACGTTCTTCATGGTTATTACTGGAAATTATGGATCTTATATTGTATAATTATGATTATTGGTTTTTACTAATAAAAAACAAGATCATATATATTTAATTGACTCTCTTTCTTTACAGGCCTATGAAAGGAGGTTTCCTATCTGTAAAATGATTCCTGTATTTCTGGGCAGTGAGATCCTCTATGACCACACCAGTGACGGAGGAGCAATACATATTATTCACAGGAAGTGTAAATTGGATGTCGATGCCCCTTACATTTTGAAAAAGGTAAGGATTTGGATTTCAATATTTTCAAGGTTACTTAGTAATGCTCCAGCTGCAGTCACTTTTAGTATCACCAGTACTCATTTTAGCAACTAACCTGCTAATATGGCAGATAAAAATCCAACATAAGAACTTTGATAAATATCATCAAGAGGCTTGCACACATTATAAATATGTCATATAAGATGAGTTTTATTTCTTCCCTTCTCTGGTGTTTATATCTGGATTTGAGCTCTTTTACTTAAATTTTAAAAATATACTCAAGAATGTCTTTGGCCCCAATCAGTAAATACTTCTATAGTACTGCTAATTTTATATAAAATAAATAATAAATATTACTGTAGTATTAATGATTTTATAAAATTAATAATTTTTATATATTAAATATTCATATAATATATAATAATGTTATCACTATTTACAGATTATTAATATTATTGTATATTATATGAATATTTAATAAATAAAATTATTAATTTTATAAAATTAGTGCTATGGAAATACTATTCATATAGTATTAATAACATGAATTCTATGATTAATTGCAAATTACAGAATGAAAGGTACATTTATGTATTTTTTAACCAAAAGTTAGGTTTTATTTTTTATCAGATCTTTTAATCTTATAGTTTCTTAGTGCAAATTAAATTATTTTGAGTTGCATGTATAAATGTTTATAATTAGATGTGTATTCATGGTTGTATGTCTGTGATTGTGTGTTCAGGCATAAATTGAACTGTCTAGTTTTCCTTTAAATTTCCATGTAATGTAATAAAATATAAACCTGCGTATAGTGAAAGTTTGTCTTACTGGACAAGAAGGAATTTAAAAAAAATTCTAATGTTTGGAAAGATTTTGGAAAGTGGGTTGGGCTGGGAAATTTTCATCACTCTTTGTGTATAATATATATATGTGATAGAAATTAGGAGGATTTGAGATAATTATAATTATTCATAGTCTAGAAGAAACCTCAACAGAATGCAGAAAGCACTAGACGGCCATTTCATCCTATATTTGGGACTCACAGCAGTGCGCAGCGACTACCAAGAATTGAAACCCGGACAGTTACGCTATCAGGCAAACGTCATACCAACTGTTCCAACAGGACTCGGTGATGAAGAGGTAGCGAATCAGACTCGATATAGTGCAACTCAATCACATAGTGTATTGGGGCAGCAGATCATTATTTAAACATATATTGTTAAATATAACAGACAACAAATGTCTATTATGTCTGTTCATGAGCCATTTTAAGCTTGTATAGTGCCTTTAGTTTCGGGAGAAAATAAAGAAAAAAACTTTCCAACATTTGGATATTTTTTTTATTATGCTGTTCCTCAATCTAAGCTTACGGCTCACATGAGCCATCATCAGAGTTGTTATATGGACATTACAACAGAAATATTTACCATCAAAGGTGAAATCCTGTTATGTTTATTTAGAATTTTTCTATGTGATGATAATGGTCACAGAATAGCAGATGCAGGTTCTAAACTCATAAATGTGGTTCTATGACGTCATACATAACCACGTGTGAGAAAGAAATGTTATCAACAGAACCATGTGTTTAAATGCATTGTATTATGCTGTGACTGGTTTGAAATGTAATTTTGTTGAGTGTGGGATGCTTTGTTTTAATGTTGATGGCCTCCAATATCTGAAGGTTCTTTTTACTGTGTATGTGTGAGGAGTATTGTATTATCAACTAATATCTATCTGATATTATGTACATGGCTATGTTTTTTTTAAGAAATGTTGTTTAATGGAACTAAGATCAGAAAAGTGAAACCTAACAGGATCTCATCTTTGATGATATAACAAACAACAAATGTCTATTATGTTTGATCAGTGGTTATATGGATATTACAATTTGATTGTGAACATCTCTGTTGTAATGTCCATATAACCACTCTGATGATGGCTCATATGAGCCGAAAGCTTAGATCAAGGAACTGCATAGTAAAAAAAAAAAAAAAAAAAAAATATCCAAATATTGGACAGTTTTTGTCTTTATTTTCTTTTCTTTGTCTTTTATTAGAATAACTCATGATTAAACTTAATAGACATCCATTGTCTGATATATTTTGTTCAATATATATAATATATATATATATATATATATATATATAAGAATTCCTGTTTTTATTCTGGTGTATGGGAACAAGTATAGTGTAAATGGTTTATTCATGAATAACATTTTGTTTGCCTTGACCTATATTGTTAAGTCAGACTTCAAAGCTTTCTCTCTCATATATTTGTATGTTCTAATGTTCATACTTGCTTGACATTACATTATTTTAGGCCTTTCTTGATTTTATGTATTTTTCCCAGACAAATTAGCAAATTGAAAACTTCTAAAAAAAAAAAAATAAAAAGATAACTATACTGGGAAAGAATGGGAGAAAAACATTATGTAACTTAAGAAAAAAATTATCCATATCAGCTGTGCCTTGTATGTATGTGTATTATTTTTATGTTCATGATCTTGTTTTTCTTTTTTTTTCATCTTTGTCTTTGCTTATTTATAAAAAATAAAGTGAGTCATTTTATGATCAAAATATTAAGCCAATGTGAATAAGTATCAGAATGGCCACAAAACCACTGATGCTTTCTTATTTGTTAATCAAGTTGATCACTTAAAACACTAAAACAAATGTTCCTATTTATCGAGTTTATATTATAATCATTGGCAAATGCAAATTTTCATCATGATTAATTATTATTAAAATATCATTACTGGTATGCCACCATGACTGATTCAATAGAATGCAGGTGAGTCTTATTCTTATTTCTTATGATGAAAACTCTGGTTGAAATGACTATGTAATTAGCACTAAGCCTGGAGTTATTTTTGGATGCTTTTTTTCTTCTGTTCATTTTTTGTCACTTTATATTTAATTAAAAATGACTTGGTTACTGGTGGCCAGATTAAACTGGAAATTGTTTTATTTTTCAAGTTAGAGTTTTTTAATAGTAGTGTGTTAACAGATTTGTGCTATGAAGTGCATTTTTTTTTTTTTTTTGCTGTGTTATGGTAGCACACTTGCAGAAGTTGGATTATTAGAATATTGATAATTAAGTGAATTAATTATATAATTTCATATACATGTTGCTGCAGAAACAGCTAACAAAGCCTTCATCAGATCATGTCCTTGGGGTCAGGCATGATTTCAGGGCTGGTGTATTAACCTAAGTCACTGCAGCAGTCTAAAATAACACCACTTAGTTGGTTTTCCTTTATAATGTAATGAAAAGGCAATTTCATTATATAATTCTTCTATGCACAATTTTCCTATCAATGTTTGTGAGCCTTATATTTACAACTAGCAGTAAAGCCTGGCGTTGCCCGGGGATGTAACAGTAAGAGATAGATCAAGTATTGACCATCATAAAGACTGAAAAATAAAATTGACAAAGATTATTGTTTAAGGTTGATGGACACGCATGTCTTAAAGTTTTTTTTTTTTTTTTTTTTTTTTTTTTACGAATTGGTCAAACTCAAACAAAAACATTGTTTTCAATCGTTAGGAGTCTACTGATTGAATAGAATTTTATTATAAACAATTGTCTTGTAAATGGAATTTTTAAAACATTCTGAATGTAAAAATAAAGAAAAAAGTGTGCAAGACAATAAGAAACATTACCTGCCAAAAAAAAAAAGTGAAGTTTTGTTGAAATCGGTTGAAAAATGTAGGAAATCCGATCCCATATATAAATGAACACACACACACACACACACACACACACACAAACAACCTGGGTTTTATAATAAGTATAACTCAATATGAGGTGTCCCCCTTTCATTCTCGTGATGTCTCTTAATCGTGTTTTCAAATTGATTTCGTGCAAAAACAATTGTTTTTCCAATTTTTTGGCGCTGTTAGAACCACTGCAAGGTAATTTTACGTAGTCTTATGAAGTTTTGTTGAAATCAGTTGAAAAATGTAGGAAATCCGATCCAATATATAAATGTATACACACACACACACACAATCTGCATTTTATAATAAGTAAGATATATGTTGGTGTACTTTGCATAACAGCATGAACCAGTATGGCACAATACAATTCCATACATTTTTGGTCATTACCTTACTCTGATGACTTGTACTGTAAGGAATCAACCAGTGTTGCCTAGTTCAGACAATAGCTGCTGATAGTCACCCTCAAACAGATTTCCCAGTGTTCATCAGTCATAGTGGAATGTTATTTGGACTATAAGGCTGACTCACATAAATAAGATGAGCCAAATAATACAGTCAAGAAGGTAGCACATTTCCTTAGGTTTGTGTAGTTTTCCTCAATGAGCAAGTTCCAGAACAGTCTGGGAGCCCTGGACTTCAGCTCAATGTCAGCCTGTCACGTTAAAATCTTATCCTCCACTCCAAATGAGTTTAGATGAAACGGTGTTGCAATTTTTTATCCAACTAAACCAACTTCAACATCTTCCTGAAATAGGTTGTGCATAAATGTAGCAACTGGCTCGAGTAAAGCAAAATCTTGAAAGTCTGTCAAACACTGACAGACTATTGTTAATTTGCTCTATGTAGCATTAACAGACAAGTTATGCACATTGTTTCTGTTGTGTCACCAGCTCTGATGTAAGATTTTGAAAGTTTCCCAAATCATAGCACTGCAGCTTTGAGGACAGATGTTTTATTTTTCATTTGAAAGCATTAAATGAGTTGATCATTTTGACTACAGTTTTGTCTTTGCAGCTCTAAATTAAGCGCATTCAACATGTTGGTCAGATTAGTTAAAAATGCCAAGTCTATCAGCCACTGATCGTCATTTAGTTATTTGTATTCTGCTTGTTTAGTGATGAGAAACTCCTTTATCTCTGAACAGAGTTCTCAAAATCTCTGTATGAATTTCTCCCCCTACTAAACCATCTTACATGAGTGTGTAGCAACAACTCAGAGTGGTTGCAGTCCGCCTTCTTCAGATGCACACAAAACAGCCATCTTTAAAGAGATTTGGCACAAATAGAACAGACAATCTTC